GATCTGATCAGCTGAAAATTACAACAATGTTCCTTTTAAATTATTTTTTAATTACGGACAATGCTACAAGATTATTGAAAGAACTTGTATATCTACATTTACGGCCTCTAAATAAAATTACATTAAAAAAATAGAAGCCAATTTAAAACTAATTGGAATTTACCTAAAGACTAGGTACTAGGTACATAATAACATGAAAAAAACTAAATGTTAACAGTTAGGTATTAATGTAACAAATGTTCGATGTGCCGTTCGTTGTTGTCTAAGCACAATAAAACTCTTTTATTAACCTCAACTGTCGTAGAATTTTGTATCATTTGCACATCTAATTCGGTGCAGGCAGTTTTAACCCGTTGTAATAGGTCATCTTTGGTATTGACGTAAGTTAAGTAGACTTATTCTTAATACAGCCCCATAAAAAAATGAAGGGGCGTTAGGTCAGGTGATCTGGGAGGTCATAAAGTTGGACCATGGCGACCAAACCAGCGTCCTTTAAAGACATTAGATAATTCCACGTAAACTTCACGGGTTCAGTGGACTAGAGCACTATCGATTTGGTACCAACATGTATTTAGAAGATTTAAGGGGTGAATTTTCCAAAAAATTCAAGATATATTCGAGAATTTAAATTTTCCTCATAAACTTCAAAAGAAACACGATTATCCATAATCAAACAAAAAACATTAAAACTAAATTAGTTTTGAAACCCTTGAAACTTGCCAAAAAGACGTACAGTCTAATAAACAATGCGCTAAAAGCTACAACTGTGCAGAATATTCCACATAAATGTAGTATCTATTAATAGGTACTCAAGTGAGTTGAGTCGGTCCTACCGGAAGGACGAGCTGTACGTTCTATCATTAAAATAGAGAAAGCATGCATTTTATATTTCGACAAAATTCTCTGTATTGACTAGTATGATAGTCCCAAATCTTCAGACGCAGCCCTAATAGATGCATGTGGATTTGAATAGAAATATGCCAAGACATTTACTTTGTTGACTTCATCACCGGTAACTTCCTCGAGATGTGTTCTGGTGCCTTGAATTCCAAATCGTTTAAAAGTTTCTTCTATTCTCTTTAAAGGTAGTTTTATTTTAGAGGTCATAAATGTGGATATCTCTCGTAAAACAAACGACAGGTTCTTTCCAATAATTTTGTGTCATATCTCCAATGGATAATTTTTTTGAGAAATATAGAACTAAATCACTGTTCAACATGTTGCAAGTTAGGATAATCAGATATATTATTATGTAATTGATACCTACAATTATATTAATTAAACACAAAACTACAGTATTATATTTTAAGTCTAGCACACTGTACAACACTTTCATAAACAAAACGAGTTAACCCCTCATTTATTCATAGACGCGTAGCGGATGGTAAAGCAAATTGCGAGGTTGTAATGTCCAGGAACACGACAAGATCAACCGCGCTAAACACCACTAACATGTATCCAGGCGAAAATATTCCGTATTTTCGCTCTTTGTGCGGATTCCTAAACTTGCTCCTTTTATGGTGCTTTCTTTAATAATGTATTTGCCTCCCACCCATTGCGCATAGGGTATAATATGTGGTATAGAACGAAACTAAATACTAATATTTATTATAATACAATAATACAGCTTTACATTAGGTAGATGTCAAAAAAATGGTTTCTGTTCTTTGAAAATTACGCCAATGCTGTAGGTGATTCTAGACTCCTTTAACGGGCTTATTAAAGAATTGCAGTTTATTCATGTGAAGTCCCAGTAGCTTTCGTGCAAGAGGACCGATTCGGGAACACAACGGGGCGAATTCCTCCCCTCATGTCGGATTCACTCACCCCAACTTGTACAGCTTCACATAAATTTCATTTATATTATATACAGTCGTTTGCCTCTTGCACTGCCGATATAGACTGAACGCCGCGTTATCTCAACTAAAATGAATTGACGTTTAATTTTACGAATCAAGTAAATTGTGCATTAATTTGGGAAAATTATTCATTATTACTTGTCATTAATTTGCGTGCATAAATTTCATCGATTATTATATTGTTTTAACATAGAGCGATGTGTACTGTACTAACTGGAAATTACACAAGGAATAACAAGATATGTCCTGATTTAACATCACCGAGATTATGGGTAAATAGAGATTTGAATGTGTAATTTCAAAATGAATGACAATCGGAGGGCCGTGTGGTGGCTGGTGGATTCAGAATAAGTGGTTAGGCGGCACGAATTTTGCCGCCCGGCGAGGGAAAAAGCTCTTTTTTCCATTTTTCCACTGGTACCATTGGATAATATGAAATAATAACCGAAATGCCCTCCCAAAATCCCCCTTAATTATTTGCCAACATAGGCGGCCTCCTCCGCCTCATGCCACCACACAGCCCTGTACAATCGTTGTTAACCAGTTTTGTTATTATATTAATTTAATTGACTGCTTTATAAAAAATTAACAGAATAGACTCACACAGAGAATATTTGTAGACCGGGGCTAAAAAAATCTGTTGTGCACACCTTTTCGCAGCAAGTATCCAGAGATATATAAAAGTTTTTATTCAACGTGTCCCGCTAGGAGGAAGCGAGTTGGAACCTGACTGCAGGGTATAAAAAATGCGTTAGGTACAGGTTGGGAAAATGAAAAACGCAATTTTTTATTTTTGACATTTTTTACTTTTTGACAGACGACATAATATGGAAAAATTCTTTTTTTCTACGATTGCCTTTGAAAACAGTAAAAGACTACCAATTATATTTGAAAATTGAGATTTCACACGCGAGTCACAAATATTTTTTTTTCTACAACTGCATTTGAAAACCGTTAAAAACACTAGGTACTAACTATATTTAAAAATTGAATATTGCACACTAATCACCTCAACATAATACCCTTTGTGTGTTGACGTATATGCACCACAGGGACAAATTGGCCTAATTCCCGGATTCTCGAAAAATCAAGCTACAATTAAAAAAAAGATCATTGGATTCGGTAAAGTAGTTCAGAAAATATTATAGGTTAAACTTAAGGTCACCTCAAATTATCCTTTACTTTTGACCTGGAGTGTAGCTTAGCCCCAGGGCCGGATTTATGGTAAGAGCCGCCCTAGGCCCCAAAAAAATTGCCGCCCTCAATGCCCCCATCCAAGATACTATTTAATTATTTTTAACAATTTAACAAAAAAAAATAAAAAAATACCTTAAGAAACAAAAATTTTATTCTTGGCCGCCCTCATAAATTTGCCGCCCCAGGCCCGGGCCTTGTTGGCCTAGGGTAAATCCGGCACTGTTTAGGTCTATGTCCTTTCGACTGATCTGATATTTCCCTCTAACAGTTTTCCTAAAAAGTTCGATTCTTTCTAAAATTCGAATAAATCGATGTCTACATCGTCACGTAGGCTTTGAAACACCACTTTTTCCTCACATTTTATCAGGCTTTGGCCTGGCAGTAACTATCTCGAATATTTGTTGGGCGACGTCCCTTTAGCCACCGTGCGACCCTTCGAAGGATGTGATGCAACATGATGGTGCTCCACCACTATGCCGTTCAGGTTCGTCTGTATTTAAACGAAACATTTCCAAAACAGATGACTCAGTGACGCAAATCGGATTATGCTCAGATGCTTTGTTTTCGAGTTATAATTTTTTTATAGAGGCGTTAGATTTATTTTCATCGTCTTTCCCTTCCATAGAAAAATCGCCGGTAGAAGTATCGATCTATTATTAACGCCCTTTATAGAAAAAAATACGTAGAATCTAATGGAGATAACGACATTGTGCTCTGATGATTCGTTTTCGAGTTATAATTTTTTTTATAAAGCGTTAGATTTATTTTTATCGTCTCTCCTTTTACATAGAAAATTCGCCGGTAAACGTATAGATCTATTATTAACGCCCTTTATAGAAAAAAAAAATTAGAGAATCTAATGGCGATAACCGCATTGTGCTCTGATGATTCGTTTTCGAGTTATAATTTTTTATATAGAAGCGTTGGATTTATTTTCATCGTCTCTCCCTTCCATAGAAAAAATCGCCGGTAAAGGTATCGATCTATTATTAACGCCCTTTATAGAAAAAACTAAGTAGAATCCAATGGCGAAAACCGCATTGTGCTCTGATGATTCGTTTTCGAGTTTTATTTTTTTTTTATAGAAGCGTTGGATTTATTTTTCATCGTCTCTCCCTTCCATAGAAAAAATCGCCGGTAGAGGTATCGATCTATTATTAACGCCCTTTATAGAAAAAAACTAAGTAGAATCCAATGGCGAAAAACCGCATTGTGCTCTGATGATTCGTTTTCGAGTTATAATTTTTATAGAAGCGTTGGATTTATTTTCATCGTCTCTCCCTTCCATAGAAAAATCGCCGGTAGAGGTATCGATCTATTAACGTCCTTTATAGAAAAAACTAAGTAGAATCCAAGGCCCCAAAAATTGCCGCCCTCAATGCCTCCATCCAAGATACTATATTTAATTTTTAACAATTTTCCAAAAAATTAAAAAACTACCTTTAAGAAACAAAAATTTTATTCTTGCCGCCCGCCGCGCCCTCATAAATTTGCCGCCCCAGGCCCGGGCCTTGTTGGCCTAGGCGTAAATCCGGCACTGCTTAGCCCATTCCATTTGATATACCTACCTTTTTAAAATTGTCTTTATTCCTCGTTTTTACGTAATTGGCCTCAGGCGTCGTGTTTAAAACATACCCTGTACATTAAAAAAATTGTGGCTCCTGTAAAGCTGAAATTATGTATAGCGTTAGTGATTACGAATGTGAAACTCAAATAATTTTAATAATAATACCTATACATCCTTATACAAACCTCTGAAGAACCTCACGGTTCTTGTGCGAGGAAGGGATGGCTACCGATGTGGCTACGGTGGCCTTTATTAAATATGAAGCCCAATAATGTAACAAAATAAATATAAATTAATATATTGTAAACAGAAAGTAAATTTAGATTATGACAACATATATGTTTTTGTTATACGTTACGTAAAATCTGTTATTACAAGGCAGCGTGGCCGAGCGGTCTAAGGCGCTGGTTTTAGGCACTAGTCCGAAAGGGCGTGGGTTCGAATCCCACCGCTGTCAACTTTTTTTTCTATATACATAAATTATTGACTTAAAAACATACTTTCTTCTTCAGCCTTTGTAGCAAACATATATAATATATTAAACTACTGTTTTAATAAATACAGAAAGACGGCTTTATTGGCCTGTCCTTGTATCAAGTTTTAATTTTATTTTTAGTCGTCGAGTACCGAAGCCAATTTTTGATGCGAGCTATTCGCACATCTTTTTAATAGCTCACAAACAGGGAATTTAATTACCTTTGTTACGAGCTAGCAACTGTAAACCACGGCACGGCGGTATGTATTGTACACATGCCACTAGCCGTAAAAGTTTTTAGGCTAATATCAAGTTCATTACCATGAAAATTCAGTCATATTATGAACATGGCGTGTCAAGTTGTGGCTTCGCGTGCATTTCGCCAGACTGGATCGAATTTAATTATTATTCCATTCCTTTTTCCAGAATATTGCGGACCTACAGAAACACCCTCGGTTCCACGAGATATAAATAAGGAATCGCCTGCTACAAAGCAAAGGTATTTCGCCATACAAAAGTCTGAGAATGTAAGGGAGGTTACACTGTGAAGATAACGAGTTGCATGTTTAGTTGAACTAAGGGCGAATAATTATAATTGTTTTAACAAGAAAATGTTTCAGAATGTATAACACATGCAAACAAACGTGAAGTTTTCCGTTTCTTTATGGAATTTACTTGAATATCTATAGGCCAACTAATCATTACTGATTTAGTGACAAAAATAGTACCAGGAAACCGACCATGCCATCACACGAAAGACAGCCCGTGGTTATATTATTTAAGCTTAATTCTCATGGATCCGATATCCGACGTTCGATGCATGATTCGGTCGATTTGTTTTCTGACGACGTAAAATACGTATTTACATGAATCCGACTTCCGTCGATCAACGTACGAATTTTTTCATGACATTATATTAACATTAATGGCGTTTAAGAATAGAGCTACATTTATTTTAGCAAGCTCTTGGCAGTTGCTATAAGCAATAATGCTATTGGCTTTACTATTCATTTCAAAACACTTTTTAAAACATTAGAAAGTGGTTTGAGTGAAGTTATCCACGCATAGCCATCCACGCGCGATGACGTGGAGTCAATCTTCGGTGAAATATGGTCGGTCAGCCACGCGGACGTTTGCACTGCTTAGGTACTCCAACCGTCGGGTCTGCTCCTATGCATAACTCAATTTCTTGACGAAAGAAATTACTATTAAATGTTGGTACCCTTGGACAACCCAAGATAAATTATTATGTATTTATATTTAAATAACAATCAGCAACAGATTACCACCAAGACTGATGAGGCCCGTCAGGAGCGCCTAACACGTGATTTTTCTTCAAAATCTATACGGATTCTGAAGAAAGTTCGCATTTTTGGCACTTCTGACGGGCAGGCAAAGGAAATTGAACACAGTACTACCTTCTCCATTAGTGCCTTTGTTTGCATAAAATATTTGGTTAACGCACGCTAAGGCGTTAGAAAGTTATAGGCGATTTTCCGCCAACCACGAACGGATTCTGAAGAAAGTTCGCATTTTTGGCACTTCTGACGGGCAGGCAAAGGAAACTGAACACAGTACTACCTTCTCCATTAGTGCCTTTGTTTGTATAAAATATTTGGTTAACGCACGCTTAGGCGTTAGAAAGTAATAGGCGATTTTCCGCCATCCACGAATGAATTTTAAAGAGAAATCACATTTTTTGCACTTCTGACGGGCAGGCAATGGAAACTGTACACAGTACTACCTTCTCCATTAGTGCCTTTGTTTGTATAAAATATTTGGTTAACGCACGCTAAGGCGTTAGAAAGTTATAGGCGATTTTCCGCCATCCACGAACGGATTCTGAAGAAAGTTCACATTTTTGGCACTTCTGACGGGCAGGCATAGGAAACTGAACACAGTACTACCTTCTCCATTAGTGCCTTTGTTTGTATAAAATATTTGGTTAACGCACGCTAAGGCGTTAGAAAGTTATAGGCGATTTTCCGCTATCCACGAACGGATTTTGAAGAGAAATCGCATTTTTTTTTGCACTTCTGACGGGCAGGCAATGGAAACTGTACACAGTACTACCTTCTCCATTAGTGCCTTTGTATGTATAAAATATTTGGTTAACGCACGCTAAGGCATTAGAAAGTTATAGGCGATTTTCCGCCATCTACGAATGAATTTTAAAGAAAAATCTCATTTTTGGCGCTTCTGACGGGCAGGCAATGGAAACTGGACACAGTACTACCTTCTCCATTAGTGCCTTTGTATGAATAAAATATTTGGTTAACACACGCTAAGGCGTTAGAATGTTATGGGCGATTTTCCGCCATCCACGTACGGTTTTGAAGAAAAATCGCATTTTTGGCACTTCTGACGGGCAGGCAATGGAAACTGTACACAGTACTACCTTCTCCATTAGTGCCTTTGTATGTATAAAATATTTGGTTAACACACGCTGAGGCCAAAGAAAGTTATAGGCGATTTTCCGCCATCCACGTATAGATTTTGAAGAAAAATCGCGTGTTAGGCGCTTCTGGCGGGCCTCATCAGTCTTGGTGGTAATCTGTTGCTGATTGTTATTTAAATATAAATACATAATAATTTATCCTGGGTTGTTCAAGGGTACCAACATTTAATAGTAATTTCTTTCGTCAAGAAATTGAGTTATGCATAGGAGCAGTACCTAAGGAGTACCTAAGCAGTGCAAACGTCCGCGTGGCTGACCGACCATATTTCACCGAAGATTGACTCCACGTCATCGCGCGTGGATGGCTATGCGTGGATAACTTCACTCAAACTAGAAAGTGAGGTTAAAAATGATACGATATCGGAAAAAGTTAAAAATAATTTTAACTTATCTGACATCGGAAAAATAGTTGACACTTTCGTCCGGTTGTTTCCCGCCAAGCTAAATTTGAATCTGACAACCAATAAGATGCATTTCGGATGATCGTATCGTCGGATATCGGATGCATGAGAATTAAGCTTTAGGGTTGGGCGATTGTCAACAGACATATTCGTTTATCGATTTTTGGAAATAATGGATTAAAATCGAATAATCGAAATGATCGATTAATGGAAATAATCGATTAATTGACATAATCGATTAATCGAACTGTCAATCCTATGTCTTTGAAAATTCTACTAAGACCACGTGTAAATTGAGGTGCATATGGAATCGATACAAATTTTGGATTTTCGGTGTCAGTCTGAAAGGTCGATGAAGTGTCTCTTTAAACCCACGCTTCGTAATTAACCTATTAACGCAATTTTCAGAATAACACTTAATCTTAGCTATATCCTTATTCAATTTTTTCTCTTTTTCAAACCTCTAAGAGGGAAAATTAATAAGCGGTGAATTAAAAAATTGAGACTCGCCATTTTGTGTTGATAACAATGATGAGAATCATATATCTGATCCATTTTTGGTAATGGGTATTTGTAAAATGAAAACAAATTAAGCAATATTGATTATTATTGATGCTCCCAATTCACACGAGGGGAAGGCATAGCATGTTTCTATTAATATACATTGACATACGGGTTCCCTTTGTCTGCCGTCCTAGATTCTACGACCACTACTCACCCTCTTTCACGCGCTCACCCGTTTTCAGTCATTTTTGCAAGTATTTTTTTTACCAATTTAGCAGCATTTTAAACTAGAATTAGAATATACGTGTTGTAGTATAATACTTTTACTTTAAAATTCTGTTTGGAAAATTAAAATCAAACGATCTGCAGAGCATTCATCAGACATGATGCAAGATGGCGGATTAAAAAATTTAAATTGCAATTCTGCAAAAATGAATTATCCGACAGCGTCTAGGTCGTGCACACATATATTAATATACAGGGTGTCCCTAAAAGGTCTTTACAACGCTTTACCAGATAGAGTGTGACTGAAAATAAGTTGATTTGGCTAAACTTTTCTTAGTACAAAGTTGCTTCGTTTGGGCGCTATACGGCCCTGAAGCTGCAATTTTGAAACCGTTTTTTTTTTGTTTCGAGTAGAGGGCGGCTGAAATTGGCACTATTTTTGTCACGAAAAAAATCTCTTTTGCTTGGTCTACTAGTACAATTTACGTAGGGTTTAAACTGAAATAAAAATTATTTATTCCAAATACATTTGAAAAAATAATTAAAGAATTGGCTTTTCACTTTTAATATCAAGCTCTCTCCATTCAATATGCGAATTCACACCACGAATTAACCTATACGAGAGCCTGTAATGCCGCCTCCACACTTTCGCCGAGACAATCCGAGACCAATCGACCACGAGAGTGTGGAGGATGGACTCGGCTCACCTCGGGATGTCTCGCTTCCTCTCGCCAGCGCTCGCTTGAGTGTCAGGATTAGGGACACGACGACAATTTGCTCTCGTGGTGGTTGTAGCTGTGCTCGACGTACGACACGACGCAATTTCAATGGCATCCATCTCGACGAAAGTGTGGAGGCGGCATTAAAAAAAGTACGAAATTAAATTTTTGTATTTGAAAATACGTGAGATTGCTATACTGAGTAGTACATAAACTAAGTCTGTATCTCTATGATGTGGCGCCGACGGTGTCTAAAGGTAAGGAGTTTGCAACAGCAGTGACGTAGTCCACATTCATCTTAAAATATAATTTCCCCGGAAATTCGATCCTGTGATCTCGTGAGCAATATCCGCTGTATAACCGCCTCGCTTAACGCTTAATATCCATGGCCTATGATGAAATAAGTGGATATCAGTCACCAGTAGGTACTACACAACCCTTCTGCGTTTGTTACCCTGGTAACAAACTGATAGAATCGTAAGATGACTCCATTGGGGTTATTCGAATATTAACCGCTTTTACAAGACAGTAAAGACGGTTAGGTAATCGTTCACTATCTAGATTTGATTATTTTGAATCAAATCCAGTCGTATACTGGCATACCTTGTGACATTAATACCCGATACATGGGGTATCATAAATTCAATTAAAATATTTATCCTTGAATAACATCCT